GGACAGGGCCTGTCCCTGTCCCCGTGCTGTAATTGCTCCTGTGAGTAAATAACGTTTATTCCCATTGGCATTCAGGCGTGGCTGCCTCCAAAACACGAGCCCCCCAGTGTGGAGGAGTGAAACTTTTGTTAAAATAGAAAATTCTGCTGAAATTCTGCCGAAAGTTTCTGCTTCAACCGGGTGAAAACTCCAGAGTCACCCCCGCACCCCTCTGCGAATGACAGAGTGATCTCTGGGTTTCGTGTCGCTGTTATTTGGAGCGACAGGGGGTCCCTGAAGCCCTTTTCCCAGCGATGGGGGATCCCCAAACCCCTTCCCCAGCGGTGCTCCCTGAAACCAGAGCCCCTGGAGCTCGCAGGGAGGTGCTGACACCCCAGGCTGGCTGGGGCATTTGGAGCCGAGCTCTTCTTTGGGGAGAGTGGGAACAGAAAAAGGCAGGATTTTGCTTTTGGGGCCTTTTAAACAGAGCAGTATAAACAATACGTTGGGTTTTTGCTCTGACTTCCCCACTGCGGTGCTGGGAACAGGGCTGGCGCTTTGCAGCCCCCTCTTCCTCCTCGCTCTCTGTAACTCCGGGGTGTTTGTGGGTGCAGTGACAGACAAGTTCACGGAGAGCATGTACGTCCTGGCCAACGAGCCTTCCGTGGCCCTCTACCGGCTGCAGGAGCACGTCCGCAGGTCGCTGCCCGAGCTGGCCCAGCACAAGGTGGGTCCTCCCTCAGTCCCCCCAATTCTCCCTCCCCTGGGAGGCTTTTATCCCCTCTGTGAAGTAAGGAGGGTCAGAAGGGTGAAGAAATGAGTGTGGGGAGGTGAAGCAGGGGAGGAATCGCTTCCCCTGGCTGTGTTCCTGCTCTCCTCCCTGCCCTCCTTCCCTAATGAACCCAGATTGTGACACTGTTGTTAATTAGTTAGTTCTTAAGGTGTTCTCTACGTGCCTGTGTACAGGGGTGTCTGGGGGGTGTAGCATGTGTTGGGACTCTTCCATCACCGGTGTGCAGGGGATGGGGTTGGAATATTCCCAAGCTGTCCCTCCCTTTCAGTTACCCAAGGAAATCCCAGGTCCAGGGGATGTGTCCCAAACAAAAAGAAATGGGACAAGTCCTGTGTCCAGCTGTGGAGCCCACAGCACAAGGAGGATGTGGAGCCCACAGCACAAGGAGGATGTGGAGCCCACAGCACAAGGAGGATGTGGAGCCCACAGCACAAGGAGGATGTGGAGCCCACAGCACAAGGAGGATGTGGAGCCCACAGCACAAGGAGGATGTGGAGCCCACAGCACAAGGAGGATGTGGAGCCCACAGCACAAGGAGGATGTGGAGCCCACAGCACAAGGAGGATGTGGAGCCCACAGCACAAGGAGGATGTGGAGCCCACAGCACAAGGAGGATGTGGAGCCCACAGCACAAGGAGGATGTGGAGCCCACAGCACAAGGAGGATGTGGAGCCCACAGCACAAGGAGGATGTGGAGCCCACAGCACAAGGAGGATGTGGAGCCCACAGCACAAGGAGGATGTGGAGCCCACAGCACAAGGAGGATGTGGAGCCCACAGCACAAGGAGGATGTGGAGCCCACAGCACAAAACATTTCCTGGGCCTTGCCTGGAGCTGCTGCTCTTCCCATCCAGTTCTTCCTGCTCACTTCATGGGCACTTCCATCTTCTTCACTGCTTTCCTGGTCACCAGCTGTGTGCTTAATGGTGCAGTGATGTGGCAAGAACAGGGAGAAAATGGAAAGATAATTACTTGTGGCAGCTGGAACAGCAGCAGATCCAGAGCTGCTGCTGGTGGCTTCTCTTCCAGCCTCCTTAGCTCCTGAGGTTTTTTTCCCAAGGCTGTAGCCTCATGTTTGGGAGCATATTCTGCTCCCTGCTGGTAACCAGTCCCTGGTGGGAGCTGGGAGGGTTAAACATAACTGAGGACAGTGTCCTGGTGGTGCTGCCAGGCTGCAGGTGCCAGGCTCAGGGCCAGGTTCTCTCTGTTTTCCTCGACCCCACTCTCATTTTACCCCAGGTTCAGGCATTGCTGTGTGCAGCACACAGCCCGGGCCTCTCAGTGCCCTGAGCCCAGGAGAGAGGGATCCACGTGGGGCCTGACAGGGCTGTTGTCCCAGCAGAGCCTTCAGTTAGGTGGGGCTGGATGTTTTGGGTTGTTCTGCCCGAGCCCATCAGCCCCTGATGCAGGCTGGAGCAGGAAGGTGTCAGCAGAGCTCTGCGCCGTGCAAACCCTGCCAGGTCTCATCCACGTCACAGCAAAGGCACTAAACTGAGGGGGGTTTAATTCTTCAGAGCAGAAAAGAAGGAATGTTCTACGTGGATCCATTCTCAGTCCCAAGATGCAGGTCGTGTGTGGAGGAAATGGGTTTATTGGGGGTTTCCAGCTTCCCTTCAGCCATGCAGTGACTCCATCTCTGGCTGGCTTCTCCTGAGACACAGGAAATTCCCAGACGGATTAAACCTGGGCAAAAAATGGGGAGGAGGGGGCTGGGAGAAGAGCTCCTGCAAGGAGAAGGTGACCTCCACGCCTTCACAACAAGCAGCTTTCTACGAGTTGATAAAACAACAATCCTAATACCTTCCTGGCTGTCTCAAACTCTCCAAGCAGATTTGCCAGCTCCCCGCTAAGACTGGGCGTGATGTGAGGCTCCAGCCACGCTGCTGAGCCCTGCTCCATGCAGAGCAGCCTCTCTGGATCCCTCCTGGTCCTTGGAGAGCTGAATATCTCCTCATTAAGTGACTTCCAAGTGACAGGAACGTGGCGTTAGTGCTGTTGTGTGTTGATGACTGGCTTTAGTTCTTAAACTGCATCCCAGGGCATGTCGTGGGAATTGGAAGAAAAGGCATCAAGGAAAGGTAAAGAAATGAGGAGCTCTAGGGAAAGGAGAAGCTCTTAGTCCTAATGAAGGACATGGAAATGTTAGGAAGTGGTGGGAATGCTGGGAACAGGCATCCCTGCCTCTGATACTGGGAAGTGATTAAAATCTACCAGTGCTCACAGGCAGGAGCCTGGGCCATGAACAACTGAGCCAGCAGAGTGTCATGGTCATTAAAGACCAGCCAGCACCTCTTGGGTGAGGAGCTGCAGGGAAGTTTCTGAGTCTTTTCCACACAGAGTGTCCCCAGCAACAGAGGCAGCTGGACTCTGGGACGAGCACAGTCTCCATGGGGTTGGGAGCCCTGGGTTGAAGGACCCTCCCCTGCAGAGAGCTGCCTGCAGCAGTGCATGTAGGGGCTTGTTTCTTTTGTAGTTTAAAGCTCTGTGGTCAGGCAGCCTGATGTAGGGCAGGCTTTGAACAGCAGAAGAGATTTTGGATGCAGTCCAAGCTCCTACCCGACCTCCTTCACTCACAGAAAGGGGCCCTTGGATTTCCTCTGGCTTGGAACAAGACCCAGCAGAATAGGCTGGAAAATTAGCTCCCATGAGAATATATTGGAGTGCCCAAACTGCTTGAGGACCTTTGGACTAATTCTCTGAGCTACACCTCTGAATTCAATCTGTGTTTGGTTTTCCTGTTCCTCGGAGCTCCAGCGTGGGGTTCTGTCCCATGCAGTGCTGCCCCAGCTTGTGTGGGGTGTACAGGGCTCCTTCCAGCTCCTGAAAGGACAGGCACAGCACTGACTGCCCCTGGGGATCAGTCTCTGGAGTTTTAGGGGTGCTTTGAGTGGCAGGTCTAATGAAACGAGAACTTTCAGTGCTGGGGAAGAAACTTCTACCTGATTTTGTGTGAAGGACTAAAAGCCAGACTCCACAGGAGCTGTGCTGCTTCAGATCCTGGGATCACAGACTGGTTTGGGTCAGAAGGGACCTTTCAAGCCCATCTGGTCCAACCCCCTGCAGGGAGCAGGGACATCTGCAGTTAGAACAGGTTGCTCAGAGCTTGGTCCAACCTCCCCTGGAATGGTCCCAGGGATGGGGCAACCTGGGCCAGGGGCTCACTGTGCTCAACAAATTTCTCCCTTCTCTCCAGCCTAAATCTCCCTCTTTTAGTTTAAACCCATCCCCCCTTGTCCTGTCCCCACAGGCCCTGCTCAAAAGTCTGTCCCCAGCTTTCTGACAGGCCCCTTGAAGTCCTGAAAGGCCCCCAGAAGGTCTCCCCAGAGCCTTCTTTCCAGGCTGAACAACCCCAACTGCCTCCTGCTGGCCCCCCAGCAGAGGGGTTCCCCCCTCAGGTGATATTTGTGGCCTCTCTGACCCTGTCCCAACACGTTTATGTCCTCCTCATACTGAGGAGCCCAGAGGGGGGTGCAGATCCTGGCTGCCTGCTGTCCACAGGCACGGGGAGATCCCAGTGCTCTGGAACATCAGCTGGGCAGGGCTGGAGCTTGTCCCACGGCCAGCTGCATCTGCCCAGCGTGCATCTCACAGTGCCCTCTGCTCTCCTCTCTTCCAGTCTGACATGCAGAGCTGGGAGGAGCAGAGCCAAGGAGCCATCTACACCGTGGAGTACGCCTGCAGGTACAGGGGGCTCCTCTGAGCAGGGGGCTGTGGCAGAAGCAAAGCAGAAGCTGCCTGTGGCTCCCCAACTTCTCCTTGGTGTGAGCCCCAGGGTGGGATCTTGCCAATGCCTACAGTGCTGGTCACTGCCTGAAGGGTGGGGGGCAAGGGGATGGGGCCAGACTGTGGTCAGTGGTGCCCAGGGACAGGACAAGGGGCAACAGGCACCAACTGGAACCCAGGAGGTGCCACCTGAGCAGGAGGAGAAACTTCTTTGGTGTGAGGGTGCAGAGCCTGGAGCAGCTGCCCAGAGAGGCTGTGGAGTCTCCTGCTCTGGAGAGATCCCAAACCCTCCTGGCTGTGACCCTGGGCCCCCTGCTGGGGGGGACCTGCTGGAGCAGGGGGTGGAGGAGACGATCCCCAGAGGTCCCTTCCAGCCCCCACCACTCTGGGGTTCCGTGTTTCATGTTGATGAGTGTGGCAGCTCTTCCCCAGCCCTGTGCAGGGCAGACCTGCTGCTCTCCTGCACTAAATCCAGCCAGCCAGCCTGTGGAGGTGCCTGAAGTCAAAGCTCCTCCCTGACAGAGGGCTGTTAAGAAGTGTGTCCTCCAAAACCACGCTGCCTTGGCATCTCCTCACCAGGCCTCCATCCTCCTGCCTCTTTTCTTCTCCCAGTGCCATAAAGAACATGACTGACAGCAGTGTGTACTTCAAGAGCATCGACAGCCTGCTGAAGCATGCCATAGCCATGAAGGACCAGCTGAATGCTGCCCAGGGCCGCAGGTACCACGGGGAGGTGCCCTGTCCCTTCAGCCAAGTGACCTTTCAGGGGCTTTGGTGACACAACAGGGCCCAGGGCAGCTGGGCCAAGCAGTAAAATGATCCCAGAGCATTGTTTGGAAGAGCACCCTGCTTGTCTTCCAGTGCTCTTCAGGGGGTGGTTACTGGGAAGGAAATAATCTTGTTTATAAAAGGGTAACTGGAAAATTGTTTCTTTCCTTGTTTAAAAGGAAAGGTCTCTTCCAACCAGAGTGATTCTGTGACTCTAAGCAAGGCTTTATTGGAGGTTCTTTTAGCTGCTGCTGTCCTGCCTGCTGGACATGACTGTGTCTGTCTCTTCACAGCACTGCTGCCCCACAAGCCAAGAATCCCCCAACCAGTTCCTGATTCCAGACCAGCCTGGATGTCCTCTGCCACCTTCTCCAGCCCAGCTGTATGTTCTCCAGCCACGGGCAGGGGTGAAAACCCACTTGCTCCATCTGTGAGGCTGCCCAGAGCTCTCTACCTGCCCCACCATCCCCAGTGAGCAGGGGAATCCTACCACTGGCTCGGAGCTACCTTTGGGGAGTGCTTTGGGGGGCACTTGTGGCCCTTTCCACAGCACTCTGCACCTGCATTTGTCCTGTCCAGTTCTTTTTGATGTCAGACTGCTATGAGGCATTTCTCTCTCTACCTCTTGGCCACAGAAATCTCAGAAAAACTGAGTCTTGCTTGCAGTGTTTTGTAGATGGCCGAGTAAGGACGTAACGTGGGCACACTTCAGCTCTGTTCAGGAGGCATTCTGTGAGGAGAGGTTTTCATGTGTGTGCCAAGGAGCTGCTGAACTTGGTGAGAACAATAATAAAAAGAAAAAAACCAAAGTTCTGTTTAAAACCTTCCCCTCTTGCTCACCTCGGGCTGGGGGGTCTTGGAGTGCTGCTGGCACTGAGTGTTTCCAAGGGCATGGAGCAAAACAAAGACATGTAGAGTTGGAGCCTTTCAAGTGAAAAAAAAAGGAACTGTCCTGTTCTTCAAAGGGGAAAAAAAAACAACAAGAAAGGGGTTTCTTCATCTGCTGTCAGGCAGAGCTGTGCCCACAGCTTCAGAGGGCACTTGGAAAAGGATGGAGCTTGAGTGTTCATCTCTCCTGGAACCAACGGTTCTGTGCTGCTGAAGTTTAGCAAGGCTGCAGGATCAAAGCTGTGCCAGACTCAGTTTCCAAGGAGGTTCTGCTGTGCTCAGGGTGCCTGTCAGGACAACAGCACTGGGGGTGTGAGGGAGTCTGAATCCATGGGCTCCCTTCTCTCCCTCAAATGCTTCCCTGGCTGCTGCATGCTGAGGGATTGGCAAGACCCCAGTGTGCTGCTGGGCAGGGCTTGCAGCAGGCAGGGCTGTGAGGAACCAGCAAGGTGTTGGTCAGTGTGGAGATAGAGCCAGCTGGACCTGTGTGTGCCTCCCAGGAGCAGCCACTGCCCTTAGTGCTGCTGCTTTCTGCCTCACAGGAAGGCAGCACTGGGGCAAAACCCTTCCCAGACCTGCCCCAGCACTGGGCACCTCTCTGAGGGCAGGCTGAGAGCCCTGGGGCTGGTCAGCTGGAGGAGACTCTGAGGGGATCTGATCAAGAGCTAAAGAGCCCATGGGGGATGAGAGGCTGGGGCCAAACTCTGTCAGTGGTGCCCAGCGACAGGACAATGGGCACAAACTGGAACCCAGGAGGT